ATACGCCATGGTCTCTCTGGGGGCTGTGGGGCCCAGCAGTGGAGCTGGGTGGCGGAGGGCAGGGGCTTTGGGTGACAGAGGGTGAGAGGGCAGTTGTGCGGGGGCAACAGATTCAATCTAAGAGAAAAGAAAGACACATCGTCAGCATAGCAGTGACATTGATGATGTGACCTTAGAGAAAAACAGCATATACATACATAAATACACATATACATATATAAATACACATACACATATACATATATAAATATATATACACACACACATATAAATACACATATACATGTATAAATATATACATACATATATAAATATATATATATATACACACATTTAGCCATATATACACACATGTATATGTACGTATAGTAATATATATGTACTAGTATAAATATATCATTCATATAAGTCACCTGTGAAGAGTCAGTCACAATAACCTCTTTGGCTTTGATCAGACCCAGGTCTTCTAATGTGGCCACATAGGTGACCTCTGCGACCTTCTGAGGTGGACTGAAGGACAGAGACACGTCAGGTAAACAAAGACAAACGAACGCCACCGTTGTCCTCGGTGACAGTTACTCAGAACAAACTCCTACCGCTGTGGTCTGAACACAGGTATTCTGTCCTGGTGCGTTTGTCTCCAGCTCTGTTCTCCCGATGACGTCAGAACTCGTTTCTTCTCTGAGCTCAGCAGGTGAGACAGCTGCACAGAAGCTCGTCCAATCAGCTGGTCCCTGCTGTTAGAGTCTCTGTGCCACAACTCCACCACCAGGGGAACTCTACACAAACACACGGCTCTCACACACTGCACTGAACACGGTCCTACAGCTCCACCTAGTGCCCAAAGAGGGAACTGCTTTACAAAACCTCTTTTACCATTGACTAACCAAAGATTTTATTTTATTTTGGGATGTCACCGATGACAAACAAACGTGCGCTTCCCTCCCTCTGTGACTAGGTGGTGTAAATGTGTCGGTGTGTGTTCCTACCTGTGGAAGGTGTCGTGCAGTTGCTGCGGTAACGTGGCAAAGTCAAAGGCACAGTAGGACTGAGGGAGTGACACCTCCATGTTCCTGTGCAGCTCCACCGGAGGGTTGGTCATGATGGGGGCAGCGCTGCCGAAGAACGAATATGAATACCTGAAAAAAAATACACACAAATACAGAGTATCGTTACTTCAACGTGTGAGTATACGGTACCTGTTAGTTAAAGCCCTTGTTGCAGAAAAAAATTGTTGTTCGAGTTGTATTATTTAAAGCAGGGCTCTCAAAGCCGTGGCTCGTGGGCTACTTCCGAGCCGCAAACCTTCAACATGTGGCCCGCACAACATAGACTAGAAAAAGACTATTTGTTGCAACATTTATTAATAAAAAAAAATTTGTTTAAAGAAAACAGACGTATTTCAGAATTATAAAATAATTACTAGTACAGTACATATATTTTTCTATATATGTGGTATATATGTACGTATATACATATATGTGTGTATATATGTATATGTATGTATATACATTTGGAGCAGTACATCATGTCACTCCAGTCGTTTAGCTATTTTATTTGAATTATATATTTATACACAGTACATATTTTTCTATATATGTGGTATATATTTATACATACTGTATGTACGAATATACATATATACGTGTATATACTGTATGTATATGTATGTACGTATACGTTTGGAGCAGTACATCATGTCACTCCAGCTGTTTAGCAAATTTATTTGAAACATTACAAATAAAATAAGTTGTTAAAGTTAAAAACAGTTTTGTTCTATCATTTTGTTACCTCCGTGCGGCCATTTTGCAGCAGGTGGATGTTTGTGGACATACATGAGGTGAAGTCTCTCACCTGAGCGTA